GCTCATTAGCCGATCAAGGATCATATCGCAGCAAAGAATCGGCAGCCGGTAGCGGGTCAACTCCAAGAAAGGATCCAATCCCCATGGCCGCAGAAAACTTCTCATTTGTATTTCGCACATTTGCAAAACACAGGCCTTTTTTAGTCCTTCAGGGAGCATCCGCAATCTATTCGCGTGTGCGAACTCGAACCAGTCCTGACGTGCGAGTCGTTTCGCTGCCTCTTTGGTTGGTAACCGGATCAGGTCGTACAGAGACAAATCCGGATCATTCTTTTTCATCAATATTATTTTCGACATCTTTATGAAGTCTTCGTCATCGTACCAAGACTTTTCAAGATCCGATGTCTTCTCGAGCACTTCTATCTTAGCGAATGATTTCATTATCATCAAGGCGTCGCTTCGCTCCAATTCATATCCTCTTTTCTCAAGGCGCTCCACGACGGCCAACACGTTGGACGTCGTTCTCAATTGAAAATCGAAAGGGCATTCATATTCCCGTACTTTAAGTCTCTCAGCAAAGTAATTATCAGCGGGAAAAGCGAAGCTAGACAGATCAGCGCCACGATCCAATAGTATATTTACAATATTCGGCAAGAGATTTCCTACGGCTAATTGAAGCGGTGTCAAGTTTAACTCGTCCCGTGCGTCAAGCTGCAACGTCAGATTTTTTTCGTCGCACATCTCGAGGAACTTCTTCAGCAAATCATCACTGTCGTATCCCCTCTGGCAAATAACGTGTAGAGGTGTCAAGCCCTTTGAATCGGCCACATTTGGATCAGCGCCTCTCGCCAGCAGCATTTCGATCATGATATCGCGGTTGTAAGGATTGAATTGCAATGCCAAATGCAACGGTGTCTTGCCACAGTCGTCCCGAGCATTGACGTCTACCACCTGTTGCATTTCATCGTATATACGAATCAACTCCTCCGCCAACAGACAATTTTTTTCGCAAATGATGTGCAGAAGTGTCGTACCTCGCACGATGCCGGAATTTAAATTTAAGCTTCTTCTCAGAAGCAAGTTCATCACTGGGCTATATTTGAAGCCCAGAGCCAAGTGTAGCGGAGTATCGCCCCACTTATCCCGGATGTCCAATTGTAGCGTATGATGTATTTTATCGCTGATCTCAAACAACATCTCCACCATAGCAGGTCCACCGTAGTAATCCTGACAAATATCATGCATAAGAGTCCTACCGTTATTGTCAATCAAATTAGGATCCGCGCCTTTTCTCATCAGGAATTCGACCGTCTTCTTTTTGCCGCGATTCACAGCCATGCGTAGCGGTGATTGACCGTTGTTATCCTGTGCATCGACCTGCACTGTTTGATGTTTTTCTTCGATAATCTTGAAGAATATCTCTAGCAAACTGTCATCATCAAATTTACTTCTGTCTGAAAAGACGTGCAGAGGTGTGCGTCCGCATAGGTCAGTCAAAGTCGGGTTGGCACCGTTTTTCAGCAATAATTCCACTACCTTCTTACTGTTGTACGTCACAGCCGAGTGCAGCGGAGGTAAACCTTTTTCTTTCACTACGAGGTTAGGATCCTGCCCGAGCTCAAGGAATTTTTGGACGATGTCATCAAAGTCGAATCGACAGGCCACATGAAAATGTGTTAATCCTGTTTCGTCGGTGTAATTAACGTCGAGACTGTCGTAAATTTCGAATAGTTTTCTGGCCACGAGGGGGGCCCATCGATAAATCCGGTAATAAGCTACGCGATGCACCGGTGTGGTTCGCAGAAGCAATGGCTTGCCATCTTGATCAACTGTGGGCTCGTCTTTATAGCCGATGTTTATCAAAAACTCGATGAATGGAAGAACTGCGACTTTAGTCCGGCCCATTAAATCGATGGACTTTGTGAGAAGCCAATCAATTGCCTCCTGCTGGAAAATTTCTCGAAATTCAGCAAGTTGTCCCTTAAAATCTTCGATTAAGTGGATCATTTGAAGACGAAACTTTCTTTCATCTTTCAACGTCCAATCGACTTTCTCTCTCAAAATTTTAAATTTCTTCAAACTGTCCATGTCGTTATATTTATAGTCTTGCACACTGACACAATCTCACAAGAATACAGCACAAGAATTCGGCAGCTTGTAGATAATGAAATATATGTTTTCACGAGAATCACTTATTGCAATCGATGCGATCGTCACCTTGTTTCACTCGGCGGCGTGGCAACGTCGATTGTAAAGTCAAGATGGCAGCGCGAGGCTCGAGCTCATAATAACGCACAGGGCGAGAGCGAGTATGCGGAGGCAAGCAGCGAGCGCGACAGAGACAGAGAGCTGCAGGGACGTCACAAGGACACACCAACGCAACTGTGGCGGGCCGCGGCAGCAAAAGCGAGTCAGACTCTGCCGGCCAATCTCAAAAGCGCGCGAAAGATTCTGCATCTGGACAGTGCAGAGTATGAGACGAAATATACACAAAAAGAACAATCTATGAAACAAAGAAAGAACTGTGCTACATTGACTGCGAATCTTAGGTATTTTTTCGTGGATATTATGTAAATACCGTACTAAGCTGGGTTTTTAGGCTTTATGTGATGATTTGGGTATATTTTGGATAAAAGGTGTGACAAATTACAAAAATCTCAATAAGTAGGTAGCTGTATTACGACAGTCGCAAGGTGCCAAGCATTTTTTATTTTGAAAAAATAAATTCAAGCAAGTACATTAATACAATTTTATTCATTTTTAAATTTGGATGAAATGGCAATACTACATTAAATAACACCAACCAATAAAGAATTTTGCAATTACATGCTAATATCGCTAGATCACGAGCTTTGTTCTTGAGTCGCCAAGCAAATGTGCCATAGATCTTTATTCGTTAGCTTCTCTAGGATCACATCACAGCAAAGAATCGGCAGCCGGTAGCGAGTTAGCTCCATAAAAAATTCCATAGCCCATCGACGAAAAAATCCTCTCGACAGCTTCTCGCACAGATGCAGAGCACAGGCCCCCTCGTGCCATTCGACCAGACGCCGCATTTTTTCCAAGCGCGCAAACTCGAAGTAATCGGTATAAGTGAGTTGTTTTTTAGCCTCTTCGGGACGCAACTGAATCACGTCGTAGAGCGACAGACTCGCGTTCACCGTTATTTTTTTTGCTTCTATCGGGAACCATTTGTCGTGTTCGTTCTTTCGCAAAAGTTGAACGATATCCATTGATTTCTCGAACAACTCGTACTCGGCGAACAATTTCATTATCGTCAGGGCGTCGTCTCGAAACAATTCGTATCCTCTTTTCTCGAGTCGTTCGACGACGCCCAGAGATCCAGCTGCTATTCTCATTTTAAAATAGTCCGGCCTTTCATAATACCAGCGTCTCAATCCCCGTCCAAAATTTATATCAGCGAGAGACGCTAGGCTAGAAATATCAGCACCTCGATCCAAGAGTGTATCGACCACGCTTGGCACGAGATTCGTCACGGCCAAGCGCAGCGGCGTCCAGCCCCGATTATCCACGGCATCGATCTCCACTAGGTTATCCATTTCTTCGTTGACGTCGAAAAATACCTTCACCAAATCGTCGTACTTGTTTCTCTTGGAAATCAAGTGCAGAGCCGTGAGTCCCTCTGCGTCGGCTGAATTAGGATCGGCCCCGGCTCCGAGCAGCAGTTCCATCACCTTCCTGCTCTCCCAGTGCTTCAGGGCCAAGTGCAGCGGCGAATCGCCCGTTTCCCGCCAAACGAGATTGGGATCAACCTGGCCTCGTTCGAGGAATTTCTCGACGACCTCTTCGCAGCCGGACATGCAGGCCACGTGAAAATGCGTCAATCCGGTCTCGTCGACGTAATTCGCGTCGAACTCGTCGTATATTTGACAAATCTCCTGGATTAAACCGCCGACGCAGGTGACGCTGCGTCTGGCCGCCTGATGCACCGGTGTGGTACGACGCAGCAACGGCTCGCCGTCTATATCGATTTGTCGCTCGTCTTTGTAACCGGTTTCAATTACGAAGCCGATGAGCCGAGCTCCTCCGACGACGAGTTCGTGGACGTCCATATTTTTCAGTGATTCCGCGATGAGCCAGTCGATTTCTCGAGGTCGAAAAATGTCTCGGAGGTCGGGAAGTCGTCCCTGCCAAGCTTGTATCAAGACATAAAGTCGATCGAGCAGTTTCCGTCGATCGTCTTCCATCTCCCAATTTACCTCTGCTCGCATGGCTTTTAGTTTTGTCAAGCTGTTTTGGTCGTCTTGGGCCATCGTTCGGTTCACTCGCACAATTCTCACAAAAATACAGTAACTTTGATAACTACTTGTTGCGATGCTGCGTTCGTTCGCGCTGCGGCGTTCTTGTAACGATACTGAAGTGCGAACACGAGCGCGAGTTTTGGCACGACGTGTCGAAGCAACCCGCACGAACACGTTTAGTAGCTCGAGTAGACAAACGAACGAACGCGAGGAAGACGTTGCAAGACTCAAGCGAGTGTAGAGAAACGCGGGGGAACCGGCCAAACATACAAGTGCGCCAATAACTGTCTCTGTAGAGTGTAGTATCGCGATTGATACTTTTCACGGGAGTTTCAATTCGACAAAAGAAGAAGAAGAATAAACTGTAAGTATATTATTATGAAATGCAGTTCGCGCGAATACTCACTATAGTACTATGCGACGCTGCCGCTTATAGGTTAGCTTGGACGTTCACGCAATGGATTTTTGACTCGCGCCTCGACTCTTTCTTCCATTCTTCGTATCAGCTCAGAGAACCGTTTTAATTCGGCGATCCGCGGACACGCATCGCTACTATAAATATAACACATAACACACACGCACTGCGAAGATAGGAGGAAAATTTTCCAAATCGACCGCGAACAACCGCTCCGACTCCGGCACGCGGATCGCATTTCGACGTATTATAATAGCTCGCGCGTATGTGCAGTAGCACGAGCGCGGCCGCCCCTGCACACAGTGCAAAAGTAGCCTCACGTATATGTGTGTGCATGATTACTCTGCAAGCTTATACGTGCTGCAGTGTGTATGTGTGTATAGAGCTTGTACTCGGTCACGCGCCGCACGCACACACTTACACACGCGCGCGAGAGCCCAAATGACCGACGAAATAACTATAAGACAGCGCAGCGCCGAGTCTCGAGCCAGCTGTTGTCGTTGAGCCGCTGGTAAAACTCAACCCTTCCTTTATTTTTTCTCTCAAAAAAAGCGAGATGCAACATGCCCGAAAAAAAAAAATGCACAAGATGCCAAGAACAATGACGAGGAAGTCGCACCACCACCACCACCGCGCGATACGACGTTAGTGTCGGACTGGGCAAGGTTTTTTCTTGTAACGTTTCGCGTGCGCTGCGCGGCGGCGCCCGAACCGAAGCGAGAAACGACATATTGCGCCCGCGACACGTTGCGTATTACGTGAGCGATATATACGTATTTAAGAGTGTGTCGATGCGAATACGACGAATGTTATGCCGAAAAAAAAAGACGTGTGTCGACCCGATGCGTGATGATGATGAGCCTCCCCATTGTGTGTCGGCGATCTGCTCCTTTTCTGCTCGTGTCTCTGTGTGTGTGCAGTGTGTAGTGTGTAGTGTGCAGTCGAGTTCAACGGACGCCAGGGGTAAACGATTTTTGCATACGTTCGAAGATCTTGTGCTAGTGTTCTTCGACGTTTCTTGACCCCAAGGGGTCGATGTACCTTACACTTGAAAAAGCTACCTCGAATCCTCTGATCTTTCTTTCTCAACCAAGTCTCGAACAAATTGGTAATTTTTCAATATTTTTTTGTATACATTTAAGAGCATCATAAAAATGAATTACAAATTATTTAAAAATTTATCCAACTTGAAATAAAATCATCCAATCGCGATATCTCCCAGACTCTCCATCTCGGCGTTTTAGCGAACTTCAAGCCGAGAAATTTCAACGCCTGCGTCGCGCTCGCCTATATACCTGAAAATCGAGCGAAATGCCAATGACGAGTTACACGCACACACAGAGACACGCATGCAGTTATCACCCCGTACAGCGCCGCGACTCTGTTATATCCTCGGCTGCAAAGTGACGCGCGCGATGCGTGCACCGCGTGAAAGCTGCGACCAACATTAGCCTGGCTTATAACGCCTATGCAGCTCATTGGCAAAATTGCAGCATCGAAACTATAAAACACACACACGTACGTGAACTTGGTTCTATTGTATCTTCTATTCTATCGCACTGGGCAGAGCTCGAGGATAGTCGGCACGAGTGCATCGCAATGGCAATATTATGCGCTCGATTCGGCACTGCACACATTTACAATAAGCTACTACGTACCTATGCACACGCACTCGCGCACCTGCACATCATAGTCATTACCGACGTAAAGCCCTCTAATCGGCCTCTGTGGGCATGTTGTGTTTTTTTTTCTTTCTCTCTCTCTCTTTCTCTCGCTCTTTCATACACTGCATCGAGCACTGTGTGTGTATATGCATTAGTTTCCGGAGGGTGGAATGCTATGTGCGCTGCAACGCTTAAAAGTGCCGATTGTTACGGGTGTCGGCATTTCGGTCGGCTAATCGGCCACACTTGCTCTCTCTCCTCCCTCTCCCGAATCCAAAAAAAAAAGGTCCCAAGGATTTTGTTCTTGCCTCGCGTTGTTTGTGCCAATAATCATTTAATCGTATGTACGTCAACAATCGGTAAGATTTTGTCGGCTTTTTTTTCTCACCACCGAAAAAAATCATAATATAACGATCCATGAGAACGACGTTAGATTCTCCAACTTGCTCACAGCTATTACAAATCGAGTACAAACCGGAAAAAAATCTCGTTGTTTTTCACATCGCTTCTGATACTTTTACGAGCTTTATTATTGGACGTGCAACTAGACTGAAAAGCTCGTTCGCGCGTCTACCGATAAGGTTTTAATCGTATATAGTATAAAAGCGATATAAAACTCACGCGTGTGAAAGTATATGTACGTCCATTATGTCATTTCCGTATAATACATATTATTAATCGTTTTCACATATTGTACATACATTTTTTTTGCATGCTCGATTAGATAAGCTCTGCTCGCGAGCGCGCGTGAGATTCGGTCACATGTTAGGAGCGCGCGCGCAAACCACATACGCGTCGCAATACACACACACACACACATACATACGAGCTTACACGTATTGCATATTGTATTTATGTATGTAAAATACAAATTCGTAAACTCACACCTTCGGTCTGTGCTGCGCTGTGCGTATATATATGCACCGAAATAATGCGCACATGGGTAATTTGCAATTGCCTCACACACGCATACAGAGTATACGTATTCCTTTTCTCGATCGACTTGCGAAAATTTGATCGTCTCTCGGCTCCGAGCTCATACTTATTTTATTTTTAATTTTATTTCACACTCCGAGTCTCTCTCTCTCTCTCTCGCGCGCTCGTCGGGGCATCGCTGCAGTGCGTTCAGATTATAATAATCCCTCTCTATATGTGCCGTGTACCTGCCTGCGTCTGTGCATACATATATGTAAAAGTGTGCGTGTGTGTGTGCACACAACGCAACGACCGTGATGATGGATTTTTTATACGGGCATGGGCTCTCGTGAGCAAAAGAGTTATGATAATGAGCTGCTGCTGCTGCTGCTGACTCGGATCTGAGATGTGTATGTGTGTGTGTATAATATGCTCCTATTTGAGCGCGGACGTGCACGTGCTTCCTCGTACTTTCGCACGAAACTTCTCTCTCTCTCTCTCTTTGGCTGCTGCAGTGGATAAATCTCGCTCCGATCCGGGTGCGTGCATTACATTTGGATGTATACGCAAGAGAAAAAATGAGGATAATTTCGACTTCGATTCGATATTTTCGGGGCTCTTTCATCGGATCGGCCAACTATACATATACAGCATGAACCAGTCCGCAGATACGAAACTCCGTGCGTATCGTTGTAGATTAAAGAGAAGAGAAGAAGCGATCGTCTAGTGAATCCTAATGAGAAATTAGAAGTCGAGCCCCGAAACAAGAACTTCAATCGAATTCCATGGCTATACGTCGTACGCACACATGCGAATTCCAGCGAGCGACTGCCCTCTCTGCGTGTACACGAGCTAATACAGCATCTGCGATAGTGAACTGCGCATAGTGGAGCTACGTATAGGCTGCAGCCACCCACGCCAAACGTCACACACGCACTCGACTGACGATCGCGTCCGCTAATATAGCTTCATTGTGTAGCACAAATATATACAACACACACGCGTACACAGACGAATACACAGGTATACATAAGGTAGTATATAGGCTCGAGCGAGAGCTAATCGGATATTAAAGTCCGCGCGTCATAGTCGTCGTCGTCATCATCATCGATGCGCAGCAAGATTGATTCGTCCAATCTGTATATCTACGCGCGCGATTTTACCTTCGACTGCATCCGGACGCAATAATATTGGCCAGCTCTGTCTCTCTCTCTCTCTCTCTCTCTCTCGACGCGATATACAAATTGTCCCACGCGATAACGTCGTACACACACGCGTTCGAGCTTGCGCGCGATTAACGCCAGAAAATTTGACTGTGTTTTTTTGTTTTTGTTTGTCATCCGCAGGACAGCAGCACCAGCAGTTCCGCGCCCTCGGCATAGGCCAGCGTCCCTATCTCGACACGACGACCTCGCTGACGACGCATCTGCGCGGCCTCGAGCCCTACAGAAGATCCAAGCACCATCATCATCATCATCATCACAGCAACAGTCATCATCATCCTGGCACGGCAGGATCGTCACCCCTACATCCGCGAGCCGTCCTCGCCAACAACAACAACAACAACGAAAACATCAGCAATAACAACGCCAACAACAACAATAATAATAGTAGTAGTAGAAGTAACAACAACAATAGCAGTAGTAACAACAACAACAACAACAGCAGCAGCAACGGCAACTGCGAGACGAATCCACAGTCAAACTCGTCGCGCACGTCGCCGTCGTCCGCGAGCCACTTGTCCTCGTCGAATCAGCCGGATCAGGACTGCTACAGTATTAAGTACGACGAGGCGAAGCAACAGCACAGCCCGACGCAGCACGGAGGAGGTGAGTTTTTTTATATCCACCCAATAATTCATCATCGTCGTAGTCGTCGTCGTCGTCGTCGTCGTTTATATAATCAAAAACAAAAAAGAAACAGAAACGAGTTGACAACGGCGCACAGCTATATTATATTATATACCGAGGACGTCTGCAGGCCTGCTGGTGGTAATCGTTATTGTAATTCGCTTCTGCCCCTCCGACCGTCCCTGAATATAAGCGCGTGTGTGTGTGTGTGAGCGAAGAGTCGACGAAAAAAAAGATAACTTATTCAAAAGCACTCGTGCTTCTATATTATAATAACATTAGTTGGTGTGTGTGTGTGTGTGTGCATATCTGCTGTGGCTTAGAGACTCGCGCGCGCGACACGCATGAATATTGCAAAATCTTATATACGCGCACGATTGCGACACACGATTTTACATACGGATGGGTTATATAGATGTACCGCCATTGCAAAAATAATAAACGCGTACTTACGCGCGTAATGTATTTTCATTACTAGTCTTCTTATTTTTTTTTATGTTATTTTTCAAATTCTCAAGAACGGCAAGTTTTTCAATGCGAATCGCGTATATATAACCGATCGAGTGAGCCGCCGAACGAGCTGCTGCTGCTGCGGGGCGATGAATTCATCGGAAAACGCAATCGGAACAAGCCGTACTTGCAGTACACGCACATACACGTATAAACACTAACTCACACACATAAAGTCAAGCTCGTATTACATATCTATATAGGTGTAGCATCGACGAGGCAATAGTTTCGTAGCTCGTTCCGGCCGTGCACCCTCTAATTCAGCGTAATAACAATATTGCCGGCTCGTCGTTCTCTCTCTCTCTCTCTCACTCTCTTGCCCAGAATCGTATCGTGCAGCATTTCTTTGTAGTACTACCCAGAGCTCCTTCGCTCTTTATATTTTCTCTCTCTCTCTCTCGGGCTCTTAAATAGATAATTTAGCGCTGTATAAAACGTTGATGATTTTTTATTTTATTTAGTTTTTTTTTTTCATTTCTGCGACGCCATACACGAGCGGCAGCGAAAAGTTTTCGACTTACGGAAGGAAGATATTAAAACTCGAGCGTAACGTACATCGGTTTCTTTTTACATGCGCCACGAGAACTTGTAATCGAGGGATTATCGAGTAACACGATCGATCCCTTCTTACTACCTACTACTACTAGCTCGATTAATAAAAAATTGATCCGATATAGCAGTTTAATGAGTAAACAAGCTTTGATCGGACGATCGGACGCCGACACGAGTGCTCGCGCACGTGTATCGTATAATTATACCCCCTCGCGTGTACCTTTCGGCGTAATTGATAGATAATACATCTCGTTTTGAGTCGTGTCAGGTAGTGTTGTTGCACGTACACGATGTTACAGTATATTATGGTATATACACACGATGTATTTGACACACTTTGGCGCTGCAGGTGCAGGAGCACCACCGCCGCGCGATATTTTTTTAATCAATCCCCCCCACATATAGGCGTGTTTCAATTGGAAGAAAATTATTGCCGATACCGACTTTGATTTCTTCCCTCGTCTTATTTTTCGCGAATAAACTCGGCGCGGCACCTTCATTCGAATTCCGATTAGCATAGCGTAGAGGGTGCGTTGTTTACGCGTAACGAGATTCGGATAATAATTTTTACAAACGCACACCCAAACATACTTGTATTCTGCAATCGATCGCGTCAAGAAGATTTGCAAATTTTTTTCTCGTCTCGCTCGATCGACCACAAATTCGGCCGAGATCAGTGTGCTGCTACCGAAAGTACACATAATTTAAGAAGCGCGCGTGAATCGATATTATTGCCTATACGCATACTTTGCACTCGCTGTGGCCGAAATTATTCCCAACGAATGCCCATCGATAATGCCCAACGAATGATAATAACGCCTGCATAATTTATACATCCTCGTCGGCGTCACTTTGCGCCCGCCGCTTTCAAACAAAGCCGTGGTAGTTGTAACATTGCACTGCGCTGGGCTGCCCGCGAGTAGTAGTAGGTACTACTACTCCTTTTCTCTCTGTCGAGCGCTCGAGTACAAAAAAAAAGAAAAAGAAAGAAAAGAGAAAAAAAATCAACTCTCGAATCAACTCTCATCTCTTTCTCGTTTCGCATCAGCGGTCCCAGCGAGGCCTGATCAAAGTTAAGTAGACTCGCTGCTGCCGCTGCTCGTTCGTGTGCTGTTGTGCGCCGCTGCTCCGTGCTACCTCTAAAACCTACCTCTCTTTGAAGGCAACAGCAGCAGCTGCGGTTTCTTGTCTCTACCTACCTACATATATACAACAGCGCCTACCTGTGTATATACATGTATACAGCGAGTCTCTCCCTCTCTCTCTCTTACTCTTACTCCGTTTTGTGCACAGCGCGAGTGTAGAACGAAACAACGAAAGATATATATACCTCTCCTTCCATAATTACCTCGTTTGGTTGTGCTGAATTTTGCGAAGCACAACACGGCAGCATACCCACGTCTCGTTGTTGTTGATGTTCCATAATGTTGTAGGAAAAAGGATCGGTAGTCGAGTACATAGGCAGGAGGGACGGGGAAAAAAAATCATAGTAGAAATAGAGAAGAGGGGAGGAGTGTAAAAAAAGCTTCTGGGTATAGCGATATATATATAACGGAAAAAAGGCAAGACTTTTAGCTTTCCAAGTAGATGTTTGCCTTCTTTTTTTTCTCTACCTTGGCGATCGTGCTCGGGCAGTAGCTCCGTATTATGCCCCCGTACGCTGTATCGTATACAGCCTGCAGCTTTTCAGACGGTTCGTTTCCTTGGCTCTTTTTTTTATCCTCGCGCGCCGAGCTACCCATAAACCACCTTCGTTAATTATATCAAGTTCCACTTACGATAGTTTTATTCCCTTCGACTCATTTGAGCTCGTCAAAGGCTTAATATTCATCAAAAGAGAGCTGCTTTAATAATTTCACGGCGATCTTATCGAGCTTTTTGCGTTCGACAGGTTATCGGGCGCGCCCGCGCGATTTATACATTATAATCAAAGTTTAATGGCTGTTTTCTCGCGACACGAGCTTATACATTAAATGATCGGGCATTAAATAATCGAACCGGCTTAGCCGAGGCTAAATCGGCTCGTTTTTCACGTTTATTTTTTCCTCTCCTCCTCCTTCTCTTTAGCTACAGGTGCTTCTGTGCGTGGGCGTGTGTATATAATTAATCGATCGATCGGCCGTATTGCTTTGACGGGCGATATAATGTGGGTTCATCAATGCCGGACGCGCGCGGGAAGCTTTTGCGTGCTTATATACAGCGCAGCCTAATTAATGTTTCGCGGTCGCGAGAGCCCATGTGCATCGAGCTTGTGCTTGCACAATAGTGAAAAATACAAATTCAACCGTGTGCATGATACACAACCGTGTTCAAGGGTTAGAAGCCGAACGGTCAGAGAGAGATAACAATTTTTTTTCCTTCCAGCAATCGAATGCATATACTCGCAAATCGATTATCCCCGCAGCTTTTTTTCCCCGACTCGCTCTCTCTATCTCTCTCTCTCTTCTTATACTCTTCATTCTCGCGCGATCGAGAATCGATTTGCACCGAAGAGATCGAGGCGCGTATAAATCCTCCTCGCGATGGCAAAAGAAAAAAAAAATCATCCACGAGGTGCAAAGCAGTCGCAGCTTACGGCCCGATTCTAATGCACGTGGCGAATTCGAGGAAGGCCGCATTGTTTGTATCAAGGTATATAAATGCGCACACTTATGTATACGTATACACAGATGGAGATAAATATACAATCGGAGAAATTGCAATTCTCGCGCGCGCGCGCGAGCTGGTGCGACCATTACGTTGTATATTGTATATATACGAACGAGCCGAGAAAACGTTATTATATATCCCTCGCTCGTTTAGCCGGCGCATCGCAAACTGATCTCCTCACACCCGCGCGTACGCTCGAATTATGAAAGACAAAAATAAAATAACTACGGCTACAACGGGGTGATGAGAATACGTGAGCTTTATAGAATCACCTCTTTCTCCTCCTCCTTTTTCTTCTCCTGCTGCTGCTGCTTCGTCTTATTCCATGTGCTTCTCCCTCCTCTGCTTATTTAAACGACGACGATGATCCGCATGGGGCCCCCAGAATTTCGACTCGACTATCCGATCGCGGGCAGAGCCGATGATACAGTTTTTGCGTAATACCGGATGAAAACATGTAGGAAAGAAAAAAATTCGCGATCGTATGTATAACGCGGCACAATTATAAAGAATCTCGCGTGATGCGCGTCGCGTCTTGCGCTTGTCTGCGCGCCGATGTGTTTATTTTTAGCGGAATCAACATTGACATTGAAAGTTGTTTACACATTTTTAGACCACTCGGTTATTTATCAAAAAAAAAAAAAAAAGGAATGAATTTTTTTTATATGTATATAGCGCGCAAGTGTGAATTTACATAAACATTCGATTACCATAATCGCGTATATGTATAGGCGTGCGAATCGAGTCGCGCGCCCTGCGGCATAGTGTATATCTCCGCGCGGTTAATTCATAAACACGTATTATCGGCTGGTCGCGCTTTATTTTTCGCCGCTTCGATACATATTACGATGATAAAATATGCGCGTCTTATACACGTTGCCGTGTTAAAAAAAAAATACCTTCGCGAGCGGATGATCGTTTTGAATTTTGAACTCGTTGCTGCTGCTGCTGCGTGTGTATACGAGGCGCAGACACAATCGTGTACGCGGGCAGTTACAAAATTGCTCCCGCGCGTACACAACAAAGCTCGATGCGATTATAAACCTTCT